GAATGAATGAATGAATGAATGAATGAATGAATGAATGAATGAATGAATAAATAAATAAATAAATAAATAAATAACAGAAGAAGAGCCCTGATGCAGCAAATGTGCTTCTAGACTAGTACCCAACTTCCCATAGCAGCTATTCAAATATTCCTGGGAATTCCAAAATCAATTGCTCTCCCACCCTAATGGCGCAACAAACAACTGGTATTCAATCTTTGAATATGGATCAGTTGACCTCTGAGGTCCCTTCCTACTTGATGCTTCTATGATCTATTTAGCTACCATAAGATAAGGTTTATCAATCTCTACCTTGCCCCTCTTTAAAACTTTTTTTTTCCTAAAGGAAAAGATTCCAATATTTTAATTTTTAAAAATTTTCCCTGCGGGCAACCCTCAGATCGTTTGCCCTGCCATTTTATTACATCTGTAGCTCCAATAAACGTTTTGGGAACGTGGAACCCAAACCTGGATCAACCAGCCTTCTGAAGTAATGGGAGATTAGAGTTTTCCCGAGAGTTTAAGGTGAAGTAAGTGAAGCATGTTTTCTTAGCCTGCTTTAGCTCTCGGATCCAGCAATGGTCACGGTGACCAATCTCGCCTAACCCCCCTGGCTATCTTTCATTTCCTCTGACTCTTAGCAGCTGCCTCTTGCTCCATCTCAACCAGACTCATTTTTCTTTTACGATTCTTGAGTCATGCAGAGCAGCCAAACGCCTTCACATTCTGCAAGCGCTTCAGCTAGGAAGGATGTAAACGTGGCTCTGAGCCAAACAACACTGTTGCATAACTTACTCTGAAAACAGAATGTGAGTCTGGAAGGATTCATAAAAAAGGAAAAGAGAGAGCTTATTAAATCCTTAGTTTCATGAGTAAAACTCTCTAGCACTGTTCCTCTTCGCCATTCTACTCCAGCTATGGAAAAGTCGCTTAGCAATATGACACTGGAACAAAGACCATTGATCTCCACCCATGGGGATCCCACACCACTGTGCACTGCTGAATTCTTAAAAATGTGATGTTTGGTCCTAAAAATGTCAGTATTTGACCTATTCAAGGCATGTACTCCATACTCTAAAAGAATAAGACCCCCAGAAAATAGAGGCTGTTAACATTCCTCAGCCATTTCCTAAAAGAGGATGGAAGGAAGCAAAGGGAAGAGAAAAAACTCCTCTTCTCTCTTGCTTGGGAGAATAAAGGCAGAAACCTTTGGGCAACAGCATTTTAGGGAAACAAAACATACAGTAAAAAGGACCCCATTAGGCAAAATAGTTCACAATACAGCAATTATTTACAAGACAGCCTAAGACTTCAGAAACCAGAGAGATGCACTGTGACTGATTTTGCAGAATATGAAAGCATTCCGACGGGCACGTGCAAACAATCCTATTTGCATTCCAGCTTAGAATTTCGAATCTGTCGTTTTTCTTACACAGAGGACACTGTGCAGGGATAACCCTGTACTCAATCACTAACCACTTATACGACCTTAGGCCATTCATTCATTTTTTCAGTTGAAGAAAATTCAAAATACTTCACCCAAATAAATCATCTGGTTGAATACTTTTATACTTTCAAAAATCAATCAAATGGGATGCTGGCAATTTTTGTCTTAGGAAATTTCCATTGATTCCAGTGGATTTCCTTGAAGTTTGTCCACA